TGTTAATGTTTCTTCCAGCAATTTTCACCCCAGCTTTGCATTCATCAAGCCCCGCACATCGAATGATGTGTTAATTAACTGTACTTTCTCCGTAAGGAAAAAAAACACCCTTTTAAACCTCTCCTAGGCTGTCTATTATCTAGGCCTCGCTGATGTGGGTACTACTACCAATTCCAAGTGTGTCTGGGCATCGAGTAGACCTACCAGCAGAGGCTTGTAGATATTTCAGCTGGAGTTCCTTTCTGGAATTTCCTGGACTTCAGTTTCCCTGGATGGTCCTGAGAAAGGATGCTTTTCTACAGGACGAGCAGGTCTATGTCCTATAGTTTAGCTTCCTTGTGTGAGACTGACCAAAAAATGGCTCCTTTCCCTCCCAGAGCCCTGAGCAGGAGGCGGAACCAAAGCTTAATTATGATGAACAGGAGGCCTGTCCTATGACTGCAAAACAGATAACAGAAAGAAAATAAAGTTAGAGCTCCTGGTACAGTCGTACCAGCACAGGTTTCCTTCTTTGAGAGCCAGCATGGTGTAGTGGCTTGAACATTGGACAATGACTTCAGAGATCAAGGCTTGAATTTCAACTCAGCCATGGCAAGACAAGGCACTGGATGGCTTTGGTCAAGTCAAGCTCTCACCCTCAGAGAACAAGCTATGCCAAGAAAAACCAGTGATAGGTTCACCTAAGGGTTACCATAGGTTAGAAATGACTTGAAGTCACACAAGAAACTACAAGAGGGGGTTGTTTTTGCTTTCCTCTGAGGTTCAGAAAGTATTACTTGCCCAAGATCATCTAGTGATTTTAAATGTGCACTGTATTGTTTAATGTTTTTGCTTTTTGTGTATGAGATTTGTTTTAATTGCTTTGTATTGTATCTGTTATTGCTTGTATTGCTTTTATTGTTGTATTGTGGGCTAGGCCTCATGTAAGCCGCACCGAGTCCCATGGGGAGATGGTAGCGGGGTATAAATAAATAAATAAATAAATAAATATTATTTTTATAGTGGGTCTTCAAAATTTGGTCACCAGAGCCATAGTTCAATGATGAAACCACTACAATATGCTAGTTCTCAGATTCACCTCAGGGTCACAAGAAGCCATCAAAAACTTGGAGACACACAACAGCCTAAAAATTGGAAAATTTGAATACCATATTTTAATCAATTTCTGCTTCACCTTAAATCCTACTGGTGGATGTTAACAAAGGGTTGATATTGTGAATCCCCCGCCCCCCAAGAATGGGAATAGTCTCTCGATGTACCATATTTGAATTGGACTGGACTCAAATAGCCATCTGTTTACCCATTTGGCTCAGCCATTATGCATTTGCCCAATTGTTATCGTCAGTCCAATCTCCTCTAGCTTTCACAGGGGGCATTTTCAACTTATCTGAAGCAGAAAAGCATCTGCAGGATGACTAACTGAGAATGATTTTATGCAGAAATCGTTTACTAGTTATTTCCTGATGTATTGGATGCATCTACGGCCCCCGTATTTCTTTAGATGCTTCCCCATGCAAACCTTCTGTGCCAGTCATTCTGCACCGATGCTTTCTAGCAGACACATATGGCCCCCTGAGCAAGCGGCTCATACACAAGGAAACAAAAACAATTTATGCCTCCCACAGAAAGCAGCATTTCTCCCAGACTCATTACTGTCAATCCTGTGTATATAAATTTGAAGCAACATTTGAAATGCTTGTCAATCAGGTAACATGAGCTAAAGACACAAGTGATCTCATACTCATAATTCAGCTGCTCTGATGGTTTTCTCAAGATCATTATGAGAAAGGTGGCAGACACTCATGTTTTTTCCTTACTAACCAAGAGTAAGAAACCAATTTCAGAGAAGTTCTTGGGAACATACATCCCAATTGGCAGTAGGTCCAAAAGCAAAGAGAGGAGAAGCAAAAGATCAGAACTGGAATTGTGTTGTTGACATGGACATGAGTAAGGTCAAATAATATTCCCTTATCTCCTTCAGAGAAAGTCAATGCAGTGTAGTAGTTTAAGTGCTACTTTCCTGCAGCCTGCCAATGCATAGTTCCATAACTTCCATAACACCATAACTTCAAAAAACCAAAATGCCAAAACTTCTTCCCTAAGAACAATGCCAAGGACCAGATCTCTGTTTTCCATACAGCAGAACCTGACTCCCTGCACAAAATCTAAGACTCCAAAAGTGCACTTCTTCCTCTTCCATTGATAAAGAAGCCCCAGAACGACCAGACTGCTCCTGTGCAAATCTGCCACTCTTCAAATACTGCCCCTTGCTCAGCCATGGAAACTTACCTTGGGCAAGCAAGACACTCTTAGTCCCAGAAAGCCTCATGATATGGACACCTTAGAGTTACCATAAGTCAGAAACAACTTGAAAGCAACATGGCTTGTACTGTGAAAATAGCCTACCCTACCATGACAACTGGACAATAGAGGGAGAAAATGTGGAGGCCGTGACAGACTTTGTATTTCTAGGCGCAAAGATTACTGCAGATGCAGACTGTGGCCAGGAAATCAGAAGACGCTTACTTCTTGGGAGGAGAGCAATGTCCAGTCTCGATAAAATAGTAAAGAGTAGAGACATCAGACTGGCAACAAAGATCCGCCTAGTCAAAGCCATGGTATTCCCTGTAGTAACCTACGGATGTGAGAGCTGGACCTTAGGGAAAGCTGAGCGAAGAAAGATAGATGCTTTTGAGCTGTGGTGTTGGAGGGAAGTTCTGAGAGTGCCTTGGACTGCGAGAAGATCCAACCAGTCCATCCTCCAGGAAATAAAACCCGACTGCTCATTGGAGGGAAGGATACTAGAGACTAGATACTAGAGGATACTACTTTGGCCACATCATGAGGAGACAGCAAAGCCTAGAGAGGACAATTATGCTGGGGAAAGTAGAAGGTAAAAGGAAGAGGGGCCGACCAAGGGCAAGATGGATGGATGGCATCCTTGAGGTGATTGGACTGACCTTGAAGGAGCTGGGGGTGGTGACGGCCGGCAGGGAGCTCTGGCGTGGGCTGGTCCATGAGGTCAAGAAGAGTCGGAGATGACTGAAGGAATGAACAACAACCATCACAAGTATTCTAGAGCCTCTACATTTACTCCAGTGTTTCCATGTTCTTCTGCAACCCATCTCAAAATGTTGGCAGGAAGTGATATCACAAGTGGTAGTTGGTCTTGCTTTTTTTGGATAGGGCTCTACTCCACAAGTGAATGGGAGGAAAAATGGCCTCTGGTACTCATAACTGTCCAACCTCAATCTAGGATTTCAACCCACATTCATAAGGAAGAAGGTTTGTCCTTCTGGGAAAAAGAGTTGATCAGAATGGGACCTATGTTCTCATCATATGGGCTGCCAGAATCACTATGCATTACGGTGAATCAGGTGACTGCCATCAGGGAGTGGGAAGAACCTGTCGCCCCATGCTCTGCATCACCCGGCTTGGCAGGAAGCTGATCCCACAGGGGTAGCATTGATCGCATGGCTTCTGCCCACCCCATTGCTTCCTGCGCAACACGTGAAGCCTCCCATGTTGCCACCATGGTGGCATACAACAGCTCCATTCTAGATAACCCACAGAACCCCACTGGAAGTACACATGCATTGTGAGATGGGAGCTGGCAGGTGCTGTGGGTCAACTAGGACTGGACTGGTATGTAGCAACGAAAACAGACCCGTCTGCTGAGGTCATTACAGGATTTGGATTTCACCTTAGAGACTGAGGTTTATACATTCTGACTGTAAACCACTGAAGAGGAATGGTATGTATTTTCAAGATACCAATACAAACCTGAGATATCAATACGATACACTCCTTTAACGTTCCATTTTACAGGAAAGTGTTGAGTTTGGCTGAGGACAAGATGCAAATATGGTTTTGTCAGCTAACTAGGAGTGTGTCATGACAAGGTAAAATTAAAATGTCAACAGGTTTTCCTTGACCCAGATAAAGATTCCCATATAGGTAAATTGCTAAAAAGAAAATGAGACCCTCACATCCTGTCTATACTACTGAAAATCCACACTTGTCAAGAAAACGATTGGTTGTGACCCAGAAACACAATTTTTAACCAAACAAAAAATCAGATAACACATATGATATTCATCTGTTTCCCAAGCCACGCTCAGATATGAGCAAATCTGTTGAAATTCTGTCATCTATTTAACATTTGTGCCAATTGGGCAGGAAGCAAGAGTTTACTCATGTTATCCTCCCACACAAGCACAAAAGATTTCAAAAGTTTTAATAATAATTTTATTTATTTATTTACTATATTTATATACCGCCTTTCTCAGCCCGAAGGTGACTCAAAGCGGTTTACAGTTGCCACAATTCGATGCCCCCAACAACCTAAAATACAATTTTAAAACATTTAGCAAATATAAAAAACATACAAAACCAATAAAAACATAAATCCTCAGTGTTTTCTTACTAAAATCATTTTCCAATTCATGTTGTAAAGTCGTTCCATAGATCTGTATTTGCCTGTTACACTGCATTTGCAAAGTCTTGCTCAAAAAGCCAGGTTTTAACTTTTTTACAAAATGTTAGAAGGGAGGGGGCCCATCTAATACCCCTAGGGAGCGCGTTCCACAGCCGAGAGGCCACCACTGAGGAGGCCCTGTCTCTCGTCCACGCCAAACGCATCTGTGAAGAAGGCAGGACCAAAAGCAGGGCCTCCCAGATTATCTTAGAGTCCTAGATGGTTCATAAGGAGAGATACATTCAGAAAGGTAAGCTGGGCCTGAACTGTTTAGGACTTTATAGGTTAAAGCCAGAATTTTGAATTGTGCCGGAGACAGACTGGCAGCCAGTGGAGCTGGCACAACAGGGGAGTAGTATGCTCCCTGAGTGTCACTCCTGTTAGCAACCTGGCTGCTGCCCGCTGGACCATTTGGAGCTTCCGAACAGTCTTCAAAGGCAACCCCGTGTAGAGTGCATTGCAGTAGTCTATACGGGATGTAACCAGAGTGTGGACTACTATGGCCAAGTCAGATTTCCCAAGGTACAGGCGCAGCTGGCACACAAGCATTATTATTATTATTATTATTATTATTATTATTATTAACAATAACTTTAATTTCATACCCCACCAACCATCTCCACAAGGGGACTCAGGGCGGCTTACAAGGGACAAGCCCAAAAATAACAGATAAAAACAAAGACAATTAAAATCAATCAAATAAAATAATAAAACAACACAATCATAACAACATTATAAAAACAATATGGCTGAGATAAAGGAAGCTTAGCTGAGATTCAGGCTCTGTGAGTGCAACAAATCCTAAAGCGAGCCCAAGGAAACCTGCTGGGTGAGATTACAAAAAGTTTTGAGGATATTTTTTCATGAAAAATTCATTTCATACACAAGCCTTATTTTGTGCCCTGAAAATGGGATTTTTGTTCAAAAAACATGTGTGTATTTCTATCTGTATGATTAATTTTCCCACTGAAGCACTCAAACGTAAAAAAAAAAAAACTTGGGACACTCTTCCATTGTTTCAAAGGGATACTTCAATGTGTTGCATGCAATAACATCCAAAATCCAGAAAATGGTGATACCTTTCTCGGGCCAACAAAAAATGCACAAAAGACATCATGGGCCCTTTGGAGCTCCACAGGAAACATCAAGTATAGGTGTTAAAATCATAGGGATAAGAAAAAATGATGATGTTAATGCCACAAGCTAGATTTTGTCAAGATGTCATTTTTGTTGCCAGTTAAGATGGTCTGGATATTCATGTTCATGTATGCAGATCCCATTTTGGTTCTGGGAGGCAAAGAGCCATAAAGTCCAAACATTTAGGTCCTATTAGCAACAAAAATAGATGTAATTTTCCTTGAGATCCAGGCTGTTTATTGATGTGGCTACCTACTCCTTTTGTAAACACCTTTTCTCCTAAAGGATAAATAAACTTGCATTTTTACATCCCAAAATTCTGGCCTAAATACATTCAAGGCACCAGATCCCACCTGATCTGCACCACCAATGAATATCCTCTGTTTCAAAGGAAAGAACTGGCAAAATTGGCTCAGGGTCTTCGTTCCCCAAGAAGATGGTATAAGATCCACGAGGTCATCAGACATTAATAGCCAACTTGAAGGTACATACACACACATGCAAACAAATCAAAAGTGACATCTTCTACTTAATATATTCATAGTCTCCATCCATTTGACACAGTCTTGCCTTCACTGAGCCCTCCTAACACTGTCTGGCAAGGATGGACTTTCATCTCATCCTCAGATCAAGCCATAGCTTTCCACCATCTTCCCCAGCATCCCCATCTTCCCCAGCATTGACCCTCTTCATCCAAAAATGTAATCCAGTGGAACTCAGAGACCGTAACAAAACCAGCAGTAGGAGAAACTTGAAAATATAGAATCATAGAATCATAGAATCAAAGAGTTGGAAGAGACCTCATGGGCCATCCAGTCCAACCCTCTGCCAAGAAGCAGGAACATTGCATTCAAATCACCTCTGACAGATGGCCATTCAGCCTCTGCTTAAAAGCTTCCAAAGAAGGAGCCTCCACCACACTCCAGGGCAGAGAGTTCCACTGCTGAACGGCTCTCACAGTCAGGAAGTTCTTCCTCATGTTCAGATGGAATCTCCTCTCTTGTAATTTGAAGCCATTGTTCTGCGTCCTAGTCTCCAAGGAAGCAGAAAACAAGCTTGCTCCCTCCTCTCTGTTGATTCCTCTCACATATTTATTAGGGCTGGCCGGTTTCGTTTCGTTAATTCGTAATTCATTAATAATTCGTTAATTTTTTCAATTACAAAACGATAACGAACCNAAACTACAGACCACCTGCTGCAATGCAACCTGAGCCCTGCCACATGCACCATGGAGGACCTTCTTGCGGCAATATCAGAAGCACTCCAAGTGGCCAGATACTGGTCAAAGGACATTTAATCAACTACCAAACTTGCAAACTCTGTGTCTTTTGTATGTTTTTTTTTTGTTCTGTCAAAAATGTAATACAACTGTTCAGTTGCCTGACACAATAAATAAAATTCCTGGGATATTTGGCAAAATTTAAAAAAATGACAACCTGGGCGCGGTTTCATTCAGAGGCTGTGGTTTTGCCCAGGACAGGTGAGGACACGCCGGAAGGGAGCGGGGCTTGGGGTCTCGCAGGTGAGCCTCGAGGACCTTGGAGTATCGGTGAAGATGGTTACCTGCCATGTCACAACGGAAACAAAGTAAGAAAAACAATCAAACCAGATAGCACATTCTCACCTATCACTTGTGGCCTTTGTTAAAGCAAAACTGCAAAGGCTTTTGCCTCCTTCCCCCAGATTTCCCAATCGAGGTACTGACTGATAAATCAATAACACACACCCATTCCAAAATCCAGACGTCACATTTCAAGACTTTGGAAACAGTCAGTATCAGGGGATACTGAATCAGGGGATTGATTCAGAGGTGAACTAAGGCAAGCTGCCTGCTATTTAAAGTATCTCGGAGGCAACGGAAGCATTATTTATTTATTTATTTATTTACAACATTAGTATGTCGCCCTTCTCACCCCGAAGGGGACTCAGAGAAGCTTATATATACTGTATACACTCGAGTATAAGCCTAGTTTTTCAGGCTCTTTTTTAGGCTGAAAAAGCTGCCCTCGGCTTATACTCGAGTGAAAGTTATTTATTATTTTACTCTGTTATTACTATTATTTTTATTACATTTATTGTTTTCCTCTATCATTGGTATTATTATATTTGCATTATTTTACTCTATTATTTTATTACATTTTACTCTATTTATTATTATTATTACATTTATTATTTTACTTTAGTCTTATTGTGATTAGATTTCTTATTTTACTCTATTATTGGCATTATTACATTTGCATTATTTTACTCTGTTATTTTATTACATTTATTTTACTCTATTTATTATTATTAATACATTTATTATTTTACTTTAGTCTTATTGTTATTACATTTATTATTTTACTCTATTATTGCCATTATTACACTTGCATTATTTTACTCTATTATTATTTTATTACATTTATTTTACTCTAATTATTATTATTATTATTATTATTACATTTATTATTTTACTTTAGTCTTATTGTTATTATATTTATTATTTTACTCTATTATTGGTATTATTATATTTGCATTATTTTACTCTATTATTGGTATTATTACATTTGTATTATTTTACTCTATTATTTTATTACATTTATTTTACTCTATTTATTATTATTATTACATTTATTATTTTACTTTAGTCTTAATGTTATTACATTTATTATTTTACTCTATTATTGGCATTATTACATTTATTATTTTACTCTATTATTATTATTATTATTACATTTATTATTTTACTTTATTGTTGTTATTACATTTATTATTTTACTTTCTTTATTATTATTGGAAGGATACTTAAGCACATTGACACTGAAAAAAGTTAGAATAATGGTTTAATCAAAGTTGGTCAGTCTTATTTTAAATTACAGCTTTATGTAAACATTGAAAAATATTTAACCTACTGTTTCCCCAATTAATGTAATTTTATTGGTATCTATATTTATTTTGTATTACCAGTAGCTGCTGCATTTCCCACCCTCGACTTATATTCAAGTCAATAAGTTTCCCCATTTTTTGGTGGTAAAATTAGGTGCCTCGGTTTATATTCGGGTCGGCTTATACTCGAGTATATACGGTACATACAATATATTATATTATTAGCATAGTAAAATATCAGTATTAAATATTACTATATTGTATTATGTCATTATATTGTAATATTATTAGTAATATTACATGTCATATATTTGTATTATTAATATTATTATAATTAATTAATTATGAGAAGTAATATTATTATTAGTATTATATTGCATTACATTATATTATAAATATTATATGTATATAAAATATATTATATTACATTATATTATATTATTAACATAGCAAAGGAGACAAGGTGGAACTGTCCCCTGGCTCCCTCTCTCTTCACTCTGGCTGGGAGTGGCAATTGGTGCTGGGTTGCTGTGAGTTTTCTGGGCTGTATGGCCATATTCCAGAAGCATTCTCTCCTGAGGTTTCGCCCACATCTATGGCAGGCATCCTCAGAAGTTGTGATGTCTATTGGTAACTAGGCAAATGGTCTATGTTTTAATACTCTTGTTATGGTTTTATATTATGTGTTAATGTTTTTAAATGTTGATGGTGTTTTTTGAGCATTGAATCGTTGCTATTGTAAACCTCCCTGAGTCGCCTGAGGGCTGAGAAAGGCGGTATACAAATATAGTAAATAAATACATACATACATACATACATACATACATACATACATACATATATACATACATACATAAGTCTTCAAGCTCTTACAAAAAAGAGGAGATGGATGAGACCTGTCTTTATTTCCCTGGAGTGCCTGGAATGTCTGGAATGCCTCTGGAGGGCATTCCAGAGGCGAGGGGGCCACCACCAAGAAGACCCTCTCTCTCATTCCCACCAACTCCCTCTACGTCCCACCCCAGAGTTTGAGATCATCTGGGGAGGCCCTGCTCTCAACCCCACCGCTATCACAAGTGAGGTTGGTGGGGACGAGGAGCAGGGCCTTCTCAGTGGTGGCCCCTCACCTGTGGAACTCACTCCCGGGGAAATTAGGTCATCAACATCCCTCCTCTCCTTCAGGAGGAAATTAAAGACGTGGTTGTGGGACCAGGCCTTTGGGCAATCTGACAACTAGATAAGGACAATCAGATGACTAGGACTGACAGGACTGACAAAGTGGACTACAAGATGGCGAACGCTGACCGTTAATGAGGTGTATTGGTTTTATTGTTGTAATGCAGGAACTGTTGTTTAACTGTTAATTGCTGCTATATTGTTTTATACTACTGTTATGTGATGCCGGCATCGAATTGTGCCTTTGTAGGCCGCCCTGAGTCCCTTCCGGGGTGAGAAGGGCAGGGTAGAAGTAACCGAAATAAATAAATAAATAAATAAATAAAAACTATGTTTGTGATGATGGTGTAGCGAGAGAAGGGCCTCCCCAGTTGATTTTATAATTTGCGCTGGTTCGTAGAGCAGTGTTTCTCAACCTGGGGGTCGGGACCCCAGAGGGGGTCGCGAGGGGGTGTCAAAGGGGTCACCAAAGACCATCAGAAAATATAGTATTTTCTGGTGGTCATTGGCATTCTGTGTGGGAAGTTTGACCCAATTCTATTGGTGGTCGAGTTCAGAATGCTCTTTGATTGTAGATGAACTATAAATCCCAACAACTACAACTCCCAAATAAAAAGGTAAAGGTAGTCCCCTGACATTAAGTCCAGTCATGTCTGACTCTGGGGTGTGGTGCTAATCTCCATTTCAAAGCCAAAGAGCCAGCACTGTCCGTAGACACCTCCAAGGTCATGTGGCCGGCATGACTGCATGGAGCGCCATTACTCCCAAATGTCAAGGTCTATTTTCCCCAGATTCTACCAGTGTTCACATTTGGGCATACTGAGTATTCGTGTCAAGTTTGGTCCAGATCCATCATTGCATGAATCCACAGCACTCCTCTGGATATAGGTGAAGTACAACTCCCAAACTCAAGGTCAACGCCCACCAAACCCTTCCAGTATTTTCTATCATCATGGGAGTTCTTTGTGCCAAGTTCGGTTTAAATCCATCGCTGGTGGAGAATGCTTTTTGATTATAGGTGAACTATAAATCCCAACAACTGCAACTCCCAAATTACAAAATCAGTTCTCCTCCTCCCCCAACCCCACTAGCATTCACATTTGGGCATATTGGGTATTTGTGCTTAATTTAGTCCAGTGAATGCAAATATATTCTGCATATCGGATATTTACATTACGATTTATAACAGTACTAAAATGACAGGTATCAAGTAGCAATGAAAACAATATTATGGTTGGGAGTCACCACAACTGCATTATGGAACTGCATTAAGGGGTCACAGCATTAGCAAGGTTGAGAACCACTGTCGTAGAGGGAGATGCGATTGCGAAGATAAGCAGGGCCTATCTTCAAGGGCAGCCCCTCGTAGAGTGCACTGCAGTAGTCCAATCTGGATGTAACCAACCCATCTAATGGAGGTTATTCCCACCGCCTTACCATCTATGACCATCTATAATAAAATAGTAAATTAAAATCACCTTCCATTCGCTCCGGAAGAGTATAGCCTGCCCCCGTCGGAGGCCGTTGTCTGTTTTCCGAATGGCTGAGACTCGGAGGCATCACGCCGTAGGATGTGTATTGAAGGAGAGCATCAAGCAGCCAAAAGCAATCTAAGGATTTAGGCCAAAAGGATTTAGAATTACTGAGTTGGAAGAGATCTCATGGGCCATCCAGTCCAACCCCATTCTGCCAAGAAGCAGGAAAATTGCATTCAAAGCACCCCCGACAGATGGTCACCCAACCTCTGTTTAAAAGCTTCCAAAGAAGGAGCCTCTACCACACTCCTGGGCAGAGAGTTCCACTGCTGAACAAATCTCACTGTCAGAAAGTTCTTCTTAATGTTCAGATGGAATGCTTTAGGTATAATTATATACGGGCGCGTTCATATTTCCCCCTAGGTAAACAAGTCAGATCTGAACATAACCTCTGTTTCTGGAACAAGGCTTCTGCTGTCGCATTATTCTCTAAAACACAGTTCAAAGACATTTTCTTCCCATTCCCAGACAGCATGGTTCTGTGGGCTGGGAATGGGAGTTAATCTCCATAATCCCAATGTCACCGAAAGACTCACCTTTGATTTTTTTGCACAGAGGTCAGACACATTTTTAGGATTTATAAATCATATATGTGAGGAATTTTAAACACAGCTAAGCCCACTGATGCCACAGCAGGAGGAGGCAATGTGTCCATTTTGGACCGAGAAATCCAATCTGATGAAACACTCAAAAATCCTATTTGACTGTTACTTTTTTTTAAAAAAAAAACCCAAAAATGCACCATTTTTCTCTAGAGGCAAAAGACATTTTGATCTCCACAATACTTAGAACATGTGTCCATCTCAATATGTACTTATGAGTCATATGAGTCAATTAAAGAATTTATATTTGAGTAGTTACATTGGACTTAAATTGCATATTGGCAAAACCTCGATGCAAGTAGCTTTTTGAAGGTTTCAAAAGCAAGTTGTAGTTACAGAAATATTTCAGTTAATCCTCTGACAAAAAACTACCTTTGCACAACAGCCCAGCACAGTCTCCCCTGCCATGTCTTGTCTTTTATTTAGCTTTTTTTTCATGTCAGGAGTGACTTGAGAAACTGCAAGTCGCTTCTGTTGTGAGAGAATTGGTTGTCTGCAAGGCTGTTGCCCAGGGGACGCCTGGATGTTTGATGTTTTACCATCCTTGTGGAAGGCTTCTCTAATGTCCCTGCATAGGGAGCTGGAGCTGACAGAGGGAGCTCAACCCGCTCTCCCCAGATTCGAACCGCTGACCTGTCAGACAGCAGTCCTGCCAGCACAAGAATTGAATCCATTGCACCACTAGGGGCTTCTATTTGGCTGGAAGATTTATTATTATTATTATTATCATCGTCATCATTATTATTTGAAACACAACAAGATGAGTACACAGCAAATAAGATCACTCTGCTTGCTTTTGTATTAGATCACACGTCAAGCACCTCCCAAGTGTCTAGGACTGCGTGATGTATCGGCAAATAATACATGCTGATCCGAGTGGGGTGGTCTTTTGCAGTGGACAGATGGTCATTTTGTCAGCGTTGACTGTGTTTAAGTGCAGGCCAAGGTCTTTAGGCACTGCATCCAGTGTGCCGATCACCACTGGGACCCCTTTGACTGGCTTGTGCCAGAGTCTTTGCAGTTCTATCTTTAAATCTTCACATCGTGTTAGCTTTTCCAGTTGTTTCCCTTCAATCCTGCTGTCGCCTGGGATTGCAACATCAACGATCCATACTTGGTTTTTTAACACAATCATGGGTATTATTATGATTACTATTATTATTATTTGAAACACAACAAGATGAGTACACAGCAAACAAGATCACTCTGCTGGCTTTTGTATTGGATCACACGTCAAGCACTTCCCAAGTGTCTAGGACTGCGTGATGTATCGGCAAATAATGTGTGCTGATCCGAGTCAGGTGGCCTTTTGCAGCTGGCAGATGGTCATTTTGTCAGCATTGATTGTTTTTAAATCCAGGCCAAGGTCTTTAGGCACTGCACCCAGTGTGCCAATCACTACTGATTGGCTTGTGCCAGAGACTTTGTAATTCAATCTTTAAATCCTCATATTGTGTCAGCTTTTCCAGTTGCTTCTCATCAATTCCGTTGTTGCCTAGGATTGCAACATCAAAGATCTACACTTTGTTTTTTTCCACAATCGTGAGGTCAGGTGTCTCATGCTCCAAAACTTTAACAGTCTGAATTCTGAAGTCCCAGAGTAGTTTGATGTGTTCACTTTCTGCAAATTGTGATCCCACCAGTTCTTTGTCACAGGCAGATGGTATTTGTGGCACAAGTTCTCATTGATCATCTGAGCAACAGTGTTGTGCCTCTGCTTGTAATCTGTCTGCGCAATCTTTTTGCAGCAGCTGAGTATGTGATCTATCATTTTGTCTGCTTCCTTCCAGAGTCTACACTTGTCA